GAAGAAGCAGAAGTAGTTATTTTGTTTGCAGTGTTTCTTTCCTATGCCATGCTCAGTCTGTTGTGCCCCACTGTAAACACTGGCCGACAGCACGACATTTATCTTTTCCTCATATTAATACGCATTGACACTGCACAGCCAAGGATTTGACTTTTTTGTATTTTTGCAAGTAATCCACTCTTTGCAGAGTACCAGGACTAACATGGGCAACAGAGAGCAGTGCAGCTGTGCGCTGTCTGTCTCAAAGCAACCCTGACAGCAGGGGATGTAGAACTGAAGAGGCCATGACAGTTTAGCTGGCCTTAATATTTATTTTTTTATTTTGTTTTAGATTTAGAGGTGACTTTTGTGACATGCATTGGACATTTCTGAAAATACAGAACTAACCACATCCTATTTTGAACCAACAACGGACTCAACATTTAAAGTGACCACCAATATAGGATTAATTTCTATTTTAAAGGATGGGTGGCAACCTGACTAAGTTCCATTGTTCATACTGGTTCTTTCAATATCAAAAAATAAAGAACGGAGTCTGGGAAGAGTTATCTGGGTAATACCAACCACAAACTGGCTTAAATCAGAGAGGCAACTGGACAGCGGCCTCCAATTTAATCCTGTTTGCACCTTCCATAACCAAGTTTTCTTTTTTCTATACTGCTTATGGAAATGATCCAATTAAATTTTAAAATATTAAGATATATCAAATAATGATACAATCCAAATACATTGTCTCTATATTATTTGAATAGCATTTTTAAATAAATTCAGCATATATATTTATTGCTAAAATTATGAAAATAGTAGATTGTGAGCAAACATTGGGTGTACATTTTGTCTAAAATGTTTGCATTTTCTCATTAACTTTTGGTTTTTTTATGTGTTGGTTATGATTAGGGTTACAGTGGTATAGCTTTTGTAATATCCACAAACAAAGAGCTCTGTGTGAATGGAGGCTCCTCTGAGACTGTTCCAAGCCTCTTTGACCCAGGGGGCTACCACCCTTATAGCATCGTCATCATCATCCTCTTCCTCCCCTGAACTAGGAGAAGTGAGTGCTTCAGGAGCTGGAGGCAGTAGTAGCAGCTCAACAACAACTGCTACCTACCTTATCAAGGCTGCACTTTAAAAAATGAAACTGTCTAGGGAGCTGTTCTAAAAGAAATTTCTTTTTATATAAAAAATGACAAAATAAATCTTTCCAAGTCTCTAAGTCTAATGTGGTGGGGGTAAAATAAGAAAATAGCATAATCATTTAAAATAAACACCACACACCTTCTTTGCAACAATAAATGAGTCTGAAGAAAGTTGAACTTAAGCCTAAAACAGGATGGAGTTTAAAGGTCTGAATTGTAAAATTATAGGTTTACTGATGCAGGATGTGAATAAAATTCAAACTACTTGGTTTAAACCCTGTTTAAAATAAAAACTTAACATTCATTTCATTATCTTTTAAATTAGTTAATAAATGCTCCATGGTTTTCATAGCTGCTGATTTTCTGATGCTTAATTGCATTTCAGCCCAGACAGGAAGCTAAGCGAATTGTTCTTCTGTCTGTGTGTAAGAAAGGCAGTGTGGACAAAGAAAGGTTGAGAAACGGAATACAAGCAAGGTAAGACATCAGAATCAACAGACAACATGACGTTGATAGGTTAGATAACATGATGCATGGAGAGATGGAGGGTAAATATCAGCAGAAGAGGAATAGAGAGGCCAAAAGGGAGTGGCATTTTTTAATTTGCATAAGATGCAGGAATTGATTTTCCAAGCTAATTTAATTGCGAAGAACAGACGGGATGAATGTACTGAAGTTGTTCTGCATCGACCTTAGCAGCCGCTGATTGATTACGCGGAGAGAGAGCTAAACTACAAGGCTCATGTCTATTCCTCAACACGCAGAGAATGAGGAGTTGTCTGCATTCCGGAGGAGAGATTTACAGGTGTTCTTTGGTCTGTGTCAGGGTAAGTTAATTTGGAGAGCTCACAGGGTAGAGAGAGAAACATAACTCCTACATTTATCTCTTAAATTTATCCCAACAGCTTTAGCTGAATGTAAACTAAAAACGGATGGGCATCTGCCTCTGCTGTTTTGCTCTGAACAGGAGTCACTGGCAGAAGATGCAAACGGAAGTGTATTCTCTAATTATTTTGAAATAAACCTTTAGATTTCTGCTTCTTAATATGAATCTAGAAACAACTACATTTGATTTTGTCAAATTAGCAGCTACTGTTAAAATCTTCTGGATAATTCAGAATTTTCTGGGTCCCTTTTGAGGAAAAAAACCTGCATAAACGTATTTTTTGTTGGTTACTTGATGTAAACATGATTATAGAGTTGTTTCTAAACAGTCTTTATCCTATGCAGTAAGTAATGCAAAAAACCTGGCATGTAAGCTACAGACAGCAGCTCTGCCAGCTGCTATGCATATATTACTGTGAAAGGATGTGTTTGATTATTAGCCAGTGATGTTCACAGACCCCGGGCCAATAATGGATCCCAACAATCTGTTTGCAGTGGCAGTAACTTCATAATAATGACCATATTGCTGTCTTTCCAACTCAAAACTAAAAAATAACTGTATTTTTTTAACAAAATAATCTTAAGATACCTCACCTTATCCTATAACCACTCAACTACTACCTTGTTAGAGAGAGGAGATGAAAAGCTCAACATTCAAAAAGTTCAAAAAGCTAATATTTTTTACCATTTACTCCTTTTGCAACACATTTTTATTGTCATTTACATAATTTTCAGACTTTTCTTATCAATAGATAGTTGAAATTCAACTCTCTCATAAATAAAAAACAACAACATACATGTTAAAGTTAAATTAAATCATTTAGTTGCATCATTTGTGATACATTAGGCTTTTCTATATAATCATTTTTAGATTTTCTTTACAATACATGGGTCTAATTGTGTGAGTCAGGGTTTTCATTAAAGAAAATATCACAAAGATGATGCAGAGGTCTCAGAAACTCATGTGTTGAATATGATACAACTGGTTTGAAAAGGTGAACATAATGTGGAGAATAAAAGCCTTGAAAATACACTGAAGTAAAATAATGCTACCGTTGCATTTATTTATTGCATGCATTTACTTAATAACAATCAGTTACTTTAACACAATTGTTTCATGTTAGCAGGGTAGGACTGGGTATGATTAAGTAAATGCCAAAAGCGGTTGCATTATTTTTTCCAGTGTATAAATAGGGTAGTATATAGTAATTCAATGGACAGCGACAAAACAGGAAAAAAAGTACTTTGGTTATTTCATCCAAAGATTCATTAGTTGGTGTTTTTTATTCTGCCTGATTACACGAGTGCACAATTATATTTCTAATGAGATAAAGATATAACTACTGTAGACCAAAATTAAAACATACAGCAGTTTCTTGGTAGGGGAAGTTAATGTTACCACATAAAAAGGTAAAATGACGCAGCTGATGGTTTAAATTGCAATAAGAGTTCAGAACTGAATTCATAACTTCTCAGTGCTTTGGTTAGAGCAAATTATAACAGATTGATGAGAATATTAGATATGTGAGACTTGAGTTGATGTCGACCTCAAACCGTAAGAATTGAAAACTATTAACTTTTTTTTTTTTTTTTGATAAGTGAAATCTCTGTGGACTATTGCGTGTAGATGACATGGCACCCAAAATCGTCACTTAATAGAAATTGTATCCAGGCTCTCAGTCAACTTTAACTTTTACTCTCAGTGCTCTTTCACTAGTTTTGATTTCAAAACTGAAGAAAAATGTACAGTACCATCTTTATCTGGAAAAAAGTATGCTGACCTTCAACTTTCCCTCGACTCTTCATTATTGTCCTTAAAAATAGGATTTCAGCAATAACTGGGAGTTAGGAAACCTTCCAGTGGCAATGACTGGGACCAAGATTATCCCTCGGCCTTTTTTTTTTCTTGTTAGATTATAGTTTCACTTAAACGTATAGAGAATGATCTTCCTACTTGCTTTTCCTGTTAGCTATCTTTTTCTGTCAATGCGCACTTTCAGGCGTCTATCTGTGGTGAGCTATTTTCACCTTTCTTACCGCGGTTTTTTGAAAATGGCCGAGGGTCGTAAGACGAACAGTGTCTATGAAGTTTATGAGAAGAAAAGAAAGGCCTCAGAAGGGGCAAATATATCCCAGAATGCTTTTTTGGAGAGCTCTCCTAGGGAGGCATTATTGCATTTGCTCTCTCAGTGGTCCGCTGTCGCCATAGGCTGTCACTACCAGACAGCGGGGACTAATAACAAAGATGGCGCAGGCAAAGCGCAGTTGAGGAGGAATTACATGACCAACAGGGAGCGAAAAGCAGTGATCATCTGCCCGAAAGGTAAGTTAACTACATAGTTAAAAGTCCACTACATAGTCCCCGCTCTACATAGTGATTGAGGGATTTAAGGGTTATGGCGGACTTTCAGACACAATAAGCTTGTATGAGCTATGAGAACAGCAACTTTTAAACAGAGCTCTTGCACACGTTTAATAGGCGTTCCCTCTTGGTGGTGGGTACAGGGTTGTGCGTGTGCATTTGTTTTTTAAAGTGGAGAGGAGTCTTTTAAAAAATTCACAAAAATCCTCCACAATACCGTTAAATAGATCAGGTTATGGCAGCCTGTACATTAGAGGAGTTAGATAGTTCAGTCCATGTTGTTTATACATTTACTAATTTATTTGAAAACAGCATGTGTAAAATACTTATGTGATAAATTTTCTACAAATATCCCTACCCTCAGCTTTCCAATTTTCCAATTCTGAGGCAAAACCTTTTTTACTGCAAGAAGCTGAAGACTTTTAGAATTACTTTCTTCAGAATCTACATGATAAAATCCATCTTAAAAGCATGTTTTTCTTCTTAGCTGTAACAGATACACATCATCAGTCTCCTACTGGATTTAAATGATTATGTAAACTATTTACTGTCATTTACTGTAAGTCCCTTGGTGTGCTTCATTACAAGCAACCTATGTGTAATGCCAGGCCCCTTACCTCGAAGATTGCGTATGAAGTCTTCCAACAGCATCTTGCGATCTGGTTTGATGTTAGGGCTGTACATGTCGGTGTTGAGGAGGATGATGGCAAAGGCCAGGATGAAGATGGTGTCTGGATTGTGAAACTGCTGCACCACATCAGGGTTGCACATACAGTACCTCTGGCTGTATGCAAAATAGAGAAACTGGGTTAAAAAAAACACTTGGAAGCTCAATAGACAGTGGTTATAGTACAGTATATTGAGCAAAAAGTGCCCAGAGATGAATAAATAAACAGCAAGGACAGGAGAAGAGGTGAAGATGAAATGATAGAATATTTAAAACTAAAGCATTTTTTCTCAGAACACCACACTTCAGCGAAATTATTACACAGGGTAAGCATTAGAGTGTCATGCTGAAAGGAGAGTTATGGCTTTAATTTTGCCTGTGGGCACATCTTAAGCTGTCAGCTGCCCCTTAGTCGCAATGAATTTCACAGTAGGTGAGGTTGGGCTGCTTCTGCTCAAAACACTGTTTCTCTGCATGAACTCTCTAATTCCCACTAGATCCAATGCTTTCATAAATTAGCCCCAGATTACACGGAAAACTGAGTACAAAAACAAAACTCCTTTGTATTAGGAGTGAAGGTCTGCTTTCTTCTGAAATATAAACAAAACATTAGCCTGCATAAAAGATCATTTTCATGAAAAGAAAAACAAAACAGAATGCTCTTGGGTATGAACTGATTCAATGAATCATACCCCCTAAGAGCACAATGCCTTGACTCAAAGACTCACCACCCACAGACCAGAACTAGAATTTATATGGGTGATCCATAAGCTGTTAGCTTGTAT